CCGGGGCCAGCCGCGGTGTTTCCCCTGTCATTTCTGGCAGGCACGTAGCCCCCTCAGGTGCTCTACGCCAGTGGTGATGGTAGTGAGGTACCGCATTTAATAATAACAATAATTATAATAACAATAATAGTAATAATTATAATAATATAATAATATAATAATAATCTGCTCCTGTCAGGGAAAGCTAGAGCAAGCAACTGTGAGGAAACCTGAGCACGACAGCCTGCCACGGAAACACAGGGCACTGCGAGTGCCACACCAAGGCCCCAGCTCCGCGACTGCAAGCCACTGTGTTTCGAAACGGGGTACACGAAACGGCTTCCTTGACGAACACGGCACTTATGCTGGTTCACCTTCACAAAAGAGAGGGGTGTGCAGCAGCCTCGGCCTTTATCGCCACGCAGTACCATTAAAACATTCCTGTTAGAACTTACAGTATTATCCGCTGCTTAAATACTAAGCGTGTCACTCCTCTTCAGCTATTTCTTTTCAATCATTTCTTCAAAACAGAAAGGTATTGAGATTTTTTTTCTACTTCCAATAGCTCTGATGTAGAGAAAGCCCAAATCAGACTGAATTAAGCTAAGCCTCAGTGTTTTTGAAAGAAAAAACTTAAGGTGCAGGGGGGGATGATCAGTTTAAAATAGAAAATAAATTCAGATAAGCCTAAAAATGTTGACATTAAATAGAAATTTAAGGAAATCAATGAGCTTAACAATCAAAGATGTTTAAGGCCAAGGAATGTTCTTACACATTCTATTTTTACTTTATTATCCCAATCAAAACCATGCTGTGTTCAACAAATGAAAATGAATTTCCCAGTCTGAACACAAAGGAAATGCACTAAGTTACCAATTACTTTAAAATTCTAGTATTCTCTTTGCCCTCACATAGAATTTGAATATAGAATTATTAATCAAATAGTCACACCAATGAATACAAAATTAGCTTACCGTAATAAAAAAAATATTTACAATTAAGACAACAGGAAGACTATTCACTAAAAAAGCTCATGAAACATTATATTCAATTCTTCAGCTTCCACAGTTTTGCCTGACATTCATGTAAGCTGAAGTGTCTGTACTTCCTTAATGTTTCATGTAATAGAAAGCAACACAAGGGCACTGCACTTTTGGCAGGTAGAAGTGGTGTTCCAGGTTCATACAAGTCAATCTCAGGAAGGCTTCTCAGCAGAGAAAGCTCATTTTCTGCTCAGGAACACCTAAGAGGATCAAGCAATCTAATAAATGCACTGATATGTCAGAAATCTGTTTTAATTAAGTTAGGGTAAGATAAAAGATACAAAAGAGAAAATTTCCTACAAACAGTAAAATTTCTCCTTGTACTGAATTATGTACGAAGAAAATCCGTTCACCCATTTTTTGCACGTGAGCTTGCTATGTTGTGTACTTCTGATGTTTCGTAGGAATGCAGACAAACAATGTCTCACTCCTAGCTCAGTACAACTTCAAAAGGTAGTACCGCTCTGTTTCGAAACACTCTATTTACAAGTCTGTAGCCATTTGAAAAATGGATTATTCAGAATCACCAAAACATCAGTTATTTTGCTGCTCTTATGTATTTTAAGTAATTAGAATCAAGAAGAACTTGGAAACATGTAGGGGAGAAAGGAGGATGTTAGTGATGTTGAAATCTCAAGCAAGGCCTTCTCAGATCATGATACATAAATATCTACAGTATATATACACCTTTCCTGGTATCTCAAAGGAAAGATGCACATTCCTCTAAACAATCCAGCTGCTAATTTTACATTTAATTGCTGCCAAAAAAAAATTACTTCCTGAAGTGATGGTTTAGTACCTTCTAAATTCTACTATTGTTACTACTAAACAGCAATTAACAGAAGTTGATAGCATTATCCATTATTACAGCAATAAATCTATTACTTTTATTCTGATCAACAGCTGATTATGAAATAAAAAGCACAGCATACATTTATCAAAATGATTTAAGGGATATGATAAAATGGAGACACTTAGTAGATAAAGGTTCTGATGCCAAATTTAAGGACAATTTAAACTCTTATGAATTTGGCTCAACGTTTATTCAGCTATGCTGTTACTTACTCTGTTTGGAGTTATTTTTAAACACAATTTTTTAAAATTCTCTAAAGAGCATTAAATAATTTGGCCCAAAAAGCCTACCAGTCTACAGAAAGACACTTTCAACTTTAAAAATAACAGTTCTTTCTCAAAACATATTTCAATAATCATCTTACAAATGTAATGGCACATAACATCAGAAAAATAACATCACCTTTCCAAGTATGTTACTACATGCAACAGTAGAGGGCTTCCCATTTGTAGTCCGTTTCTCTCTTCTCAAGAAATAGCTTAAAAAATTTAACGAAACTCTTTAAGACGTTTCCATCAAACACTTATTTTAAAAGGTATGGCCTATTAAAAGGGTATTTGTTCAGAGGAAGAGCTTGTTTGGTTTGCTGTTTCTAAACAAACTAATAGAAGAATCCAACTGGCAACAAAATCTTTCTCCAGGTTCAATAGACACCTGCCTATTAGCATCAGGACAATGTAACTGCAT